CAGAATCGCTGATAATGACAAAAGCCGGCACTCATTTCTACACAATAGGTCTTTCATTATATAAACCCTATGTAAATACAGTTAGACATCGCTATAATAAACCATTACTGATATGTATTATTCCTTTACTATTTATTATTCGACAATTGGTTTTAATCACAATTCGTGAACAAAATCACCGGTTTTACGCCATTATAGGCGACGCGTCCTATTTTATAGGCTTAAGACTCGGCGGCAGTGTTTTGATTATTACTGCGTTAACGATATCGGTGTTTTCGCAAGCATTAAATTACTACAATTATAAACATGGTATTAAACCCATGGATTTATTGGTGTTTCAAATGCTTTCGGGAGACATATCTCCGGCCAGTGTTGGCATTCATGACAAGAAATCGGTGCATAAATTGTTGACATTTTCCCGATATTTGCTATTTTTTGGTGAAATGATCCGTAAATTGATTTTTCCTTTTATGTCAATTTTTATATTTTTCATATTTGCTATAAAACAGACTTATTATCAGATTGTTTTCATGGCATTACCCCATATATGTCTAAATAAATAATTTGTGTATGATTAATGATTTAAATAATTATAATACACTTGATTGATGATATTTCATAATGTATATTGCAACGTTTATAACAGTGATCACGCAAAGCCGGTTTGTACAATATTGTCTATGAATGCAAACTAATTCTATAATTCTGTCTAAAATAATAATATATCATGCTACATTGTATTCAAATCTACTAATAGATTTACCATCCCATAAAGGTAACAACACGGAATTGCATGTTATTCCTATGGTTATTCTCTAACATGAATAATTTTAATCTAACTATGTAAATCTGATTAGATAATTAATTGATAATAATTAAAAACTCATTATAAAACAATTAAAAAATATAACTATTATGTATTAATGTTTGCTTAATTGTAATATTATATGAAATACCGAGAATTTGTAATTAACTAGGTGATCAAACAAATTGTTAATCACTTGTATAGTACATATACTTTAGCACATTTACATAATATGTTTAGACCATTTTCTTTAAAGTATAAAATCGTAATAAATTGGTTAATTGTATAATTAATTTAAATAAAATACTTTTTTAAAAATAAATTATTATAATAATGTTTGTACCTTATATAATTCTAAATGCTATCATACTAGCAAACTCAATCAGCACAATATCAGCGACAGGGTCGGTTAAATGTCCGGCACCGGAATTAATGCGACCATGTAGTTGTTATACATACAATGTTAAAGAAATAAATAATATTGCGTGGATATGTACGGGAATAGAAATAACTGACCTGAAACAAGTAATGCACAAATTGAGCAAGCAACTAACCGCTGGCGATAAAATTATTTATAAATTACAATTGGCCAATACAAGTGTGGCGGCAATACATGCGAACACATTCGCTGACATCAGGTTTCAGATCGTGGAAATGGACGACAACTGCCATATGACACATATTGATAGCCAGGCTTTTATGGATCAACAATTGCAACGTATCAAGGTGAATAACACGAGACACCTTGTTCATAAATCTGCCACTAGCCCAAACGGCACAGATATATTTGCCATAATAAATGAACAGGGTGCAATTAAATCTGTATATCTGCGCGACATTAATTTAGAAACGATTCCCCCGAATGCGTTTGATGAAATGTCAAATTTAACGTACCTATACCTGGGTGGAAAATCATTAAAATCAATTGGCACCAGGGCATTTTACGCAATGAAAGGCCTTAGAAGGCTGCATATCGACGACACATCCATAACACATATACCGGCAAATGTATTGGTGTTTACCACCCCTAATACTGCTTTCCCTCCACTTTCTATACGCATTTACCCTGGTATAACTGATCATTTATTTGATAAGGATTCGTTTGCTAATTTTAATGTTTCTGTTAGCTTAATGTTTTCGTACGCAGCCAGATTAAGTGAATATGATGTGAACCAATTCAATAATTACACACTTATAGCTACCTACATCGATCAAAACAGTTTTAAGGTGTTTTTCAATTCAAATAAGAATAATATGTTATCATTATCTCATGGTAAAATTGATTGCAATGATACACGTAATTTGTGGCTAAAAACTGAATTATATATTAGACACAGACAACTTATGGTGGGCAAGAGTTGCGGTAAATACTGTTACTCGTGGTCATACACTAAATGTGATGTTGATAATTAATTGTAACTATAACTATAAAATTATAAATTTGCTCAAAATACAATTTATTATTTAATAAATCATAAATTATAAATATATTTTAATATACTATTAATTTATATATAACTAGTTAAATGTTGATTTATATTGATGTTATTTATTTGTATATTTTTAATAATTTATATAAATCAAGATTTCTGTATTCAATCTTGTTGTAAACATTTATTGTAAAATTCTATTAATAAATTTTTAATATTAAATAAATATACAATATTTATCATGTTTATACCACTTTATCTTATAATTTATTTATTAATTGACGTTAAAATTGTCAAATTTAATTAAGATTAAATTAAAAATAATAACCATGCCAAAATCCATCACAATTTTTAGCATAAGGATTATCCAACAGACGGCCCAATGTTTTAGGATTTAATTCAAATATATTCACGCGATTATTATCAAGAAATTGAGGCCATTTATCATCAGGGGTTCTGTTTTATTGCAATAATATTAAGCATAATCTACTAATTCTTAAACATGCGATAAAATGTAATAACTTTGTTTTAAATACCCGTATTTTGCAAACTGTGTCCACATTGTCATAACCGCGCGACTAAGCGACTGATCTTCGGCTGTAAATCCCGGTGTAGTTAACGGTAAACCAAACACATATGGTATATCCATACCGTGACAAATGCCCATGGTCTTTGGATCGCACTTCCAAAGTTTAGCTATTATAGGATTTTCATAAGTTAACTCATAAAAATAAACTTTATGTGACTTATTCCGGTTTAAGTAAAATTGTTTGGCAAACAAATAAGTCGGACACTTCATTGTGATGTCACCAAAAAAGTCATAGAAAGCCCAGCGGAGGGCCCGGGGGTCCGATTGGTTCACATTTTGCAGGTAATAGTCTGTCCATCGCTGGACATCGAGACCCCGGTATATATCGTTGGTTTTATTAATGTATTGTTTAAATGACTGGACGGATAGAGGGTTAGGTAGGGGTCCGACCATAGTCTCTGCCAAACTTGAGCCCTCATCTCTCACTAAGCCTGACAGTAGATCAATATCTTATTGGAAATTTGAATAATATAAATTATGTTTAATGTTAATTGTTTATGTTTGAAACCATTTAAAATTTTTAGCACAATTTTATACAAAACTAGAATTAAAATCGTTAATTAAATATAAAATAAAATTCATCCAATACCTGTCCTAAAATTCTTCTCTTGAAAAGCTTTTTGAGCAGAAAATGGCAAATATTCAGTCCCTAAGACCGGGAATGTCGGGAAGATTGTGACCGTCTGTAGCCTATCGACCGGTATTTCTCTCAAACACTGTAACCACTCCTCAGATTCACTGCAATTAAAACGTTTTGCTATATTTTTGGCCGATTGTAAGGCTTCACCGGTGCTGATCGGGTCCCGGCTTTTGCTGTACACAATGGCCCCGCTTTCCATAATAGCCCTCTTGAATAAACCCTTTGTTAACGGACTGAATATCTGTATCGATACGGACCAACTGCCGGCGCTCTCACCAAATATAGTGATTTGATCCCTATCTCCGCCAAATTTTTCAGCATTTTCTCTTAACTATTATTATATAATTAATTTATACATCACTTCATTACTCAATAGAAATTTTGATTAAAATAAGCGATCAATTGATACCCATTTGAGAGCCAATAACTGGTCAAAAAGTCCGACATTTCCGGGCGCGTCCTCCCGATCCCCGTATAGGAAACCAAACGGTCCTAACCTATAGTTTGTTGAGACAATCATCACATCATTTGTGGCCAAAACTTTGCCGTTAAAAATGTCCATAAATATAGAGCCCCCGGTATAACCCCCTCCGTGTATCCAAAACATGATGGGTTTGAGCTGTGATTTGTTTGTGTTATTATTGCCCGCATTTGGTGTCCATATGTTTAATACCAAACAGTCTTCACTGATCGTTAGATTTGGGACAAGTAATGACACGTTTTGAATGCATGAGTTTTTAGGTTTTGTCGCATCGATTATATCCTAAAATTAAAGAAAATAAAGTTATTTTGTAATTTACATTTTTTAAATAAATCTAATATTTACCGGTTTGGGTGTTTTGATGGGTTCAGGTTTGGCGAACCGGAGTCTCCCGACGGGTGGTTCGGCATAAGGTATACCCAAAAACTGGTCAATANGTTTGGCGAACCGGAGTCTCCCGACGGGTGGTTCGGCATAAGGTATACCCAAAAACTGGTCAATACTTACGTTCAACACATCTATCGTCTGACCCCTCACTACACCCGATGTTGTCTTCACATCAATACAATTACTATAAGTCAGGCATAAACTAGTGATCATTAAAACAATGTTAATATAATATTTAACAGACATTATTAAAATATTAAATCAATAATTCCTATAATATTTTATATTATATAAATGTTTAGTGTTTGTGTTGATGTAATTATATCGTTTATATATCGTGGTAAAGTAACCCTCAACATAGTGTTCAAAAGATTAAAAAAGATTAAATTATAATATATTGTCTATGGGAGCATATGGGCAAAGCCTACATTTTTGGACATCTTGACCCTGAAGTTACATATGCACTTTGGGTACTTTTAATAAGTACAAATACCAAAGTAATAATTAAATAGCATTGATCAATCGACTAACAGTAAGTTGTTGAGTGAGTAGACTCATCACTATAGATATTATTTAATATTAACCTTTAATTTTTATTTATAACGTATCTGTACTTTAATAAAGTAACCCTGAAGTTACATAGGTACTTTGGGTACTTTTAATAAATACTAATATTAAAGTAATAATTAAATTGCATTGATCAATCAATTAAGTTAATCACCATACAAATTATTTAGTATTAACCATTAATTTTTTACATTACTGTATAAGTATTTTACTTTAGCTTAATTATAATTCATCTTTCTGATGAAAAATTCTACACTAGAATTCTATAATTTATAGACTATAAACATTATTATAAAAATTGAAAAATTATTTTTGTTTTCGGGTTAATAAATAATACCATTTTGAAGGGCAATAAATAAATAGTGTCAAATGTATATTTTAATTTTTCCAATTTTATATTCATGTTTGTTTTTACAAGCATAAAATTCTAATGAACAATCTACAGTACTACAATGTTAGAATATTTACTAACAAGTGTTATTTGTGCAATAATGTTGACGTAGTTTATTATAGTTTATCTAATATTCACTAAATATACTTTGTGAACTAGGGCTTATAGGTTTTCATTTGGTCCAATACTTTATTTTATTTGTTTGTTCATAATACATTTAATTTATTGTTTCATCAATCGTAAGTTGACAATAAAATAGAAATATGTTTTTAAAATGAAATGTATTTATAATTATAATTTATCATGAGTGCTATAAATTTACACCATGGTGTAAATCCTATGGTGATGCGTAATGTATAACTGTAAGTTAAAGCACTCTTGATTATAATAATTATTAAATCTTTCAAATTGTTATTTTTATTTAAATATATATTATTTAAAAAGATTTATAAGTTAGTAACTTATTGACCATAAACTTTTCAAGTTTAATTAAGATAAAATTAAAAATAATAATCATGCCAAAATCCATCACAATCTTTAGCATAAGGATTATCCAACAGACGGCCCAATGTTTTAGGATTTAATTCAAATATATTCACGCGATTATTATCTAGAAATTGAGGCCATTTATCATCAGGGGTTCTGTTTTATTGCAATAATATTAAGCATTAACTATTAAATTTAAATTAATTTGTAATTAAATATAACAATTAAACTATAAATACCCGTATTTTGCAAACCGTGTCCACATTGTCATAACCGCACGACTGAGCGCAAGATCGTCGGGTGTAAATCCCGGTGTAGTCAACGGTAAGCCAAACACATATGGTATATCCATACCGTGACAAATGCCCATGGTCTCTGGATCGCACTTCATAAGTTTAGCGATTACAGCATTTTCAAACGTTAACTCATAAAAATATACATTATGAGATTGATCCCGGTTTAAGTAAAATTGTTTGGCAAACAAATATGTCGGACATTTGTTTGTGATGTCCCCGAAAAAGTTATAGAAAGCCCAGCGCAGGGCCCGGGGGTCCGATTGGTTCACATTTTGCAAGTAATAGTCTGTCCATAGCTGGACATCGAGACCCCGGTATATAGCGTTGGTTTTATTAATGTATTGTTTGAATGACTGTACGGTCAGGGGGTTAGGCAAAGGTCCGACCATAAGCTCGGCGAGGTTTGAACCCTCGTCCCTCACGAGCCCTGTCAGTAGATCAATATCTAATGGGTAGATATAAAAAATGTAAATTAGATTTATTAATATATTGTATTTATCTAAATGTAATAAAATATTTACAACATTTTTACTATCAATATAATTTTAATCAATTGCATATAAAATAAAATTAAGATAATACCTGTCCGAAAGTTTTTCTCTGCAAACGCTTTTTGGGCAGAAATAGGCAAATATTCAGTCCCTAAGACCGGGAATGTCGGGAAGATTGTGACCGTCTGTAGCTTATCGGCCGGCAATCCTCGTAAACATTGTAACCAATCCTCAGATTCACTACAATTAAAATGTTTTGCCATATCTTTGGCCGCCTGTAAGGCCTCACCGGTGCTGATCGGGTCCCGGCTTTTGCTGTACACAATGGCCCCGCTTTCCATAATAGCCCTCTTGAATAAGCCCTTTGTTAACGGACTGAATATCTGTGTCGATACGGACCAACTCCCGGCGCTCTCACCAAATATAGTGATCTGATCCCTATCTCCGCCAAACTGTTCAGCATTTTCTCTAACCTATTATTATATAATTAATTTATATATTAATTCATCACTCAATAAAAATTATGATTAAAACAAGCTATCAATTGATACCCATTTGAGAGCCAATAACTGGTCATAGAGTCCAACATTTCCGGGCGCGTCCTCCCGATCCCCGTATAGGAAACCAAACGGTCCTAACCTATAGTTTGTTGAGACAATCATCACATCATTTGTGGCCAAAACTTTTCCGTTATATATATCCATAAATATTGAGCCCCCGGTATAACCCCCTCCGTGTATCCAAAACATAATGGGTTTGAGCTGTGATTTGTTTGTGTTATTATTGCCCGCATTTGGTGTCCATATGTTTAATACCAAACAGTCTTCACTTATAGGCGCTTCCGGTGGTAAAGCGCTCTTGTCTTGAGTGCAAGAGTTTTTAGGTTTTGTCGCATCGATTATATCCTAAAATTAAATCAATAGAAATTAATTTTTAAAATTTACATTTTATAAATAAGTGTATTTTTACCGGTTTGAGTGTTTTGATGGGTTCAGGTTTGGCGAACCGGAGTCTCCCGACGGGTGGTTCGGCATAAGGTATACCCAAAAACTGGTCAATACTTACGTTCAACACATCTATCGTCTGACCCCTCACTACACCCGATGTTGTCTTCACATCAATACAATTACTATAAGTCAGGCATAAACTAATTGTCATTAAAACAATGTTAATATAATATTTAACAAACATTTTAAAAATATTAAATCAATAATTCTTATAATGTTTTATATTAAATAAATATTTTGTGTTTGTATTGAATCAATACTATTGATATGTGTTTATATCGTTTATATATCGTTTTTTAACCGAAAAGTACTTAACTTAATTAGCTTTTCTCAATATATTATGTGATTATCAATATTAACCTTTAAATTTTTCTATTATAAAGTTCTACTTTACATAGTTAATTTCACTTTATCTGAAGTGGTTATAATTAATCAATTACAAGTACTATAAGTACAACAATGTCAATTATATTGCTAATAATGTGCCCAAGGTATGTGTGCACATAAAACAAATACACTAAAAAATAGTGCATCCTTGTAATTATAAATAAGTTATATTATAAAGCAAATCATTTTAAAGTTATCTATTGAATTTAGTTCATATGCACTAACAACTTGATAATCATAATATTAATACCGTACAAATGTTACAAGAATGGTAAGCTTGATCTGCAGTTTTTCCCTCAATACACCGTTTATTGGGGATTGCAATGACATACAGTATAACCTCTGTACACATGCCGTTTTATAATTAATACTTTGAAATGTAAAAAATGTTTTTTATACAGTTGGAGACAGTTAAGACTAATAACAACATGAACAGAAAATAAAAGGATAAAGTTCAGTGTTAATGGGTAAAATGCTAAAAAAAATATGCCCATTCGTGTAATATAACTAAGTATATTATATTATATATCAATAGAAAGGTACGGATAAGAAAAATAATATTCTGAAAGAATTATAAAATTCGGATATAATTAAAAAATGTTAATTAAAAAATTAAAAATTTCTTGACAATTCTATACGTTTTTATAGTGAGTGGCGTAATTATTTTACTCCTTTCTCATCAATTTTAATTGGATTTACATAAATAATTAAATTACTAAAATAAAAATTGGTCAAAATTTTAAATGCACAGATTTTGGCATTTTCTTCATTATTTTTGCGCAAACTCCTATTATATTTAAAAAATTTATATTTATAATTTGCGAAATTAATTATCATTGTAAGCATAATTGAAATTGATATAAATTACGTACAGTTATTACGTTATTCACTATAAAACACCTGAATAACAGTTCCAAAATTTTTAAATTTTGATATAACCTTTACCGATTATGTCAAATTTGGGAAATATTTTCGGATTTCGATTCTACTCATCAATTTCTTTCTATTGATATATAATATTATATACTTATTTATAAAATAAAAGATTTGATTTTTAAAATTTTACAGATAAAAGTCACTACAGCCAGACCCAAAAGCATATGGACATGTGCAATATATCATTCGACTATTTATTAAATGTACTTTCATTTTATAACAATAATTCCTGAGTGCATTATATTACACGAATGGGCATAGTCCTTTTTAGCATTTTACCCATTAACACTGAACTTTATCCTTTTATTTTCTGTTCATGTTGTTACTAGTCTTAACTGTCTCCAACTGTATAAAAAACATTTTTTACATTTCAAAGTATTAATTATAAAACGGCATGTGTACAGAGATTACACTGTATGTCATTGCAATCCCCAATAAACGGTGTATTGAGGGAAAAACTGCAGATCAAGCCTACCATTCTAGTAACATTTGTACGGTATATAAATTAATGATATTTTATGTTTTATTATACTATTCATTATGATTTAATTGTTTTAGCATATGACATTATTGATGTCAATTATTTAAATTATATTTAATGTCTGTAATATTTTGTATTGTAAACAAAATAATTATCTCAAATTCTATTCAATTTGCCAATAATTAAAATATATTGCAGCGTAAACAAAATAATTAAATCGTATTATTGCATGCATTAGGTATTAGTTGATTAAAACTATTTATTCATAGCATTTCGTGCAGGAAAACTGTGCATATTAAATAAAACAATAGTTTGTTCAACAGTATTATTAAAATAACCATGGCTAATTGCAAAGTATTGCGTTTAATAATAAGACCATTGCTTTGGTTTCATCGCATTATTGGCCTAACATTTGCCGGTTTATCCATTAATACGGACTTTAATATACAACAAAGTAACTGGGTCAAATACTATGGTTATATTTACTTGAATTTTATAACATTTATAAAGATAATCTCGATACTTTTTGTATATATAAATGCTAATTACTTCACTGATAGATTTTTTGGCGCAAACTTGCCTGATCACATTAAAATATTAATGTATGTGTTTATAAGTTTAAGAAATATTTCGTCTATATCAAATATGTACATAATTAATGTAAAATTAAATGTAAAAATTGTGCATAAATGCATTGACAAAATTGACCTTGCACAAATTTCATTCAGATTATGTTTTATTATATTGCTTTGCATGTTAATTGAATTTTCATACTTTATAATCCATGGCATTCGTACAGTAAATGTCGGTATAAATATTTACACCATAATAACTATCATATTAGACATTGGTCAATTTTTATCATTCTGCACATTGACTAGTACGATTTGGATTATCGTAATTATTTATACGCATAAACTAAATAACATACATAAATGTTTGATCAATTTATTTCAAGGTAATTTTAATGTTAAATGATTGTTTAAAAAGTCTATTTATTTTAAAGTTTCTATTAAATAGTCTATAATACTGTATATTTCAGATCTGAATCAAAACAAGCTTGGTGAATCAAATGACATGGCTACCGAATTGTTTAATAATAAATCATTGTATCTTGATATACACAAATCAGTTAAATTGATCGATGTGGCATTTTCTTATAATTGGATCGTTAATTTAATTGCATCAATATTTTCAATAATGTTTTTCATTTATTTATTAGTATTACATGATCAATTTACACCAATTCATGAGATTTTTAATGGTGTAATCATGAATGTAATAGTCATGATTATCCAGATCATTGTTACGTTTATATTATGTGATAGTTTAAATGCAAAACGCATTAAAATTAATGACGCGTTGAATGGCGTGAATGTGAGGGATATGTCTCTGACTGAGTACAGGGAATGGCTTACGTTTACGACTGCTGTTAGAAATAGTCATACGTTTGGCTTAACTATCGGAGGATTGGCTCAAATCAATAAATCAACACTTATTTCGGTATTTAATTCATTAATAACTAAATTATAAATATTTATTTATTTTACAGATATTCACATTTGTATTAAATTATACGGTAATCCTATTTCAAACAACAAGACAATGACCAGGAACCGGCACAGTTTAAAAATAATTAGACGTGAATTTTGTCTGACATTTATGCTTTCTCGTTCATTAATCATGATAAACATTACGCTTTTTTAATTATCGACTGCCCTTTGTAAATTTCTATATTTATTAAGTTTATCATATATAAATATAGTTAAGCCCCCATTAATATTAGTAACATACTATATATGAATCACCAAGTATGAAAGTATTTAGTGGCATAAATTATAATGCAATAAATGTTCCCAGGAACATTCAGTGCCGGTTCATGACAATGACAGACAAGTGTATTTTTTCATATTTAATATTTAACTGATCAAGATTTCAATTTATATAAACAAAATTATTTAATTTTATAATCAATGTATTAATTTATGTGGTATTAACATAACTTCTCAATGTGTTTAGAATCGTGTAAATGTGAGTATTTTTAGTGCAACGTACTTTATATTCAATTATTTATTATTGATTTGTATTCAGATAAAAACAACAATAATGGTAATAAAATATCTAGTTAAAACTTTTTTTTTAATGAAAGTTGAACTTTTTTAGCATAGGAATTATGATTATTAATAATAACTCATTACATAATATCTTTAGATATTTTCATAATATATTTTAAAACATTAATTGTTCTGTAAATATTACATATTATAATTGTCATTTTGATGCTAATTATTTAAATAATATTTAATAAGTTCAGTACTTTATTTTGTCAACAAAACAATTATCTCAAAATGTCAACATTGAAAAATAATTAAAATATTGGTAAATCATGTGACAGTTGTTACCTAATTATTGGGCTAAATGATAATGTATTATATTAGCCCAGTTGCCGTGCAGCTAGAATCTTGGAATTGGTCTCATTATTTAGGCCCACATTCTTAGGCACCAGAATCCGAGTTTCATCAAAATCGTATACTTTGGCCCACAATTGAAATCATTGAAAATAATGACATTTTCTCACAATTGGTACGAAAATGAAAGTTTGGTTCAAAACATTCAATTGTGTACTAAATTGAAGAAAATATCAATTCATACACTAATAGAAGATCTAAAAATTGAAATCCATTGCAAAACTGGCCTTCAAAGTGTGCTAGATCTAATGAACGTTATTATTAACAACAAACCATCTATAGCAATTAATAAAATAACTGGATTATTATTTGACCTAATTAAAGCCGACACAATTGAATTGTACGAACGGTTTGCTAAAAACAATTTCCAAACAATACAATTACTTGACATATCAATTAAAATAGCCGACAATAATAACATTAACACCATATTCATTGGTATATCGCAATTGTCGGCATTAATAGGCCTAACAATGCGCTGTGAGTTCCGTGTAATCAAAGACGTATCCAATAGGTTTCATGAAATTGGCTTAAGTTGTCGTAAACTTACGAGACTTACGTTAATTGATTCGGACATTAGTTCGTCGTAAAATAATTATTGTAATAACTATAATAACCGCATTAATTATGTAATTTTCGATATAATCAACAAATATTTCACACAATTACGATCATGTAAAATTACCGGACATGTAAATCAATCGGACATATTTGATAACAATACGTTTGACGCATGCGCACGTTTGCGACACGTAATCGTAAATTGTTATTATCTTAAAGAAATTATTAATGAAGATGAGTGGTCTTGTGATTATGGTCATAGTGATTCTGATTATGATGATTATAATTATGATCTTTTTGATGAATATGATACTACTTATGAATCGATCAGTGAAATAATT